CTCTTCCCTTGGCTCCCTAAGGCCACATTCTCCTAGTTCTACTTTTTATTCAATAGTTTGAACTACTAATCAAGCAAACTCCCCAAATAGTTTATCCTCCACTGGCTTCTTGATTTCTCTTCTCCTTCTTGTGGGCTACTGTCTTCCATCCCGTCCAAGTGAACACCCGTCTTCCCTCATTCCACTCCCACCCCAATCTCTTCATTTGCAAGATTTTCTTTTGCTGCTTACTCTTTAAGACTTCCCTACAAGGCCCTCATCTTTTCTCATTTTTTGCACTGTCCTGGTGTGATTTAATTCCTTCTCGGGTGGGGCATTCACAAAATTATCTCCAGCTCAGATAAAGCCTAAACATTGAAAATTCCAAAGCTGTCCTGTAGGATTATTTACCCTCTGCATATTAAGTGCCACTGAATGAATGGGAAGAAGGGCAAGGGATATGAAGAATGTGGGTACATGTGTGTCCACATGTACAGGGAGTGTTAGGAGCCTACATTACTATCCAAGAGGACATTGTGGTTGACTCCCGATGATCCAGTCTATTCTAGATGTTAGTTCAAGCCAACCAGTGACTTTCTCCTTGCTGTGAGGCACCACTGAGTCCTCACAGTGACTCTGTGTACAACAGAGTGAAACACTGCCTGTCCTGTCCTAGCTTCACCACCAATGCAATGTTCCAGCCCAGTGGTATAGTCACTGTGTCAGTACATCTCCTTGGGCGTCTTCCCCCTTATTTCTAACCTTCTACTTTAGCAAGCATCATGTTCCTGTCCAGGGACTGGTCCCTTCTGACAACATGTCCAAAGTATACAAGGCGGAATCTCGCCACTTTAACTTCTAAGGAGCCTTCTGATTGCATTTTTTCTCAACAGAATTGTTTGTTCAAATCTGGAAGCCCATGGTAGATGCAATATTGTGTTAGTCTGGGTTGTCTATAGAAACAAATCAGGGGGTGGGGGGAACAAATTTAGGGAGACTCATGTGCATAAGAAAGAGCTGATATAAAAGAGTAACTGTATATTAAGAAAACATCGGGGGAGAGGGAAGAAGGAAGGGAGTGGGAGGGGGGGAAAGGAAAATGAGCTGATTCCGGGAACCCAAGAGGAAAGCGAATTTTGGGAATAATGAGGGCAACAAATGTATAGATGTGCTTTACACAATTGATCTATGTATTGTGATGAATTGTATGAGCCCCAATAAATTGATTAAAAAAAAAAACCAAAAAAACATCCCAGCCCACTGCAGATCAAGTCTACAGGTCCAATATTAGTCCATATATCTAATACCATATATCCAATACTGGTCTATAAATTTCTCTTCAGACTCACACAACACATGCAGGAAGATCACAGGCCAATGGGTGGAAAGTCTTGTAGATCCAGTGGTGGTGGAAGCATCTCGGCACTGGCATGGGTCTCCATGTGGCTCTTCCAGCTCCAGGCCTGTGGCTCCATCAGCATAGCTCCATGTGTCTTGTCAGCAGGAAGACAAAGCAGAGAATGTGGGTTTGTCTCCAGTGAGCTATTTATCTCTGTGTGCCTTTCGAATGAGATCATCAAACTGTGACCTGATTGGCAGGCTAAACTCCACCCCTTCGCTCTTAATAGTCTCAAGTTGACACCAGATTATGTAAGTACCCCAAATATTCTTTGCTAACACTATCATTCAAAGATATCAATTCTTCGTCAGTCTTCCTTATTCATTGTCTAGCTTTGGAATTCATATAAGGTGACTGAAAATACCATGGCTTGGGTCGGGTCACCATAGGCTAAAAAGTTATATCTTTTCTTTCTTTTTTTTTTTTTAACACTTTAAAGAGATCTTTTGCAGCAAATATGACCAAGTTAATATATCATTAGATGCCTTGACTGCTGCTTTCATCATCGTTGATTGCGCAACTGCAGTATATACTTGTGTATAAGCAGAGTTTTTCAGCACATTTTTTATGCAGGTAAATTAGGTACCTTGGCTGATATTCGGGTCGGCTTATACTTGAGTATACAGTTAAGTAAAATGAAATCCTTGGCAACTTCAATATTCTCTCCATTTGCCACAAGGTAGTCCATTTGTGAGGGGTTTTATCTTCTTTCTGTTGAGGTGCCATCTATAGTGACGGCTGTAGTCTTTCCTCTTCATCAACGTACTTCACGTTGTCTTCACGTTCAGTGACCGGGGCTGTGTTACCTTCGTATCGCAATTTGTAAATGTGTCTTCCTCTGATCTTGATACTCAGTTCTTCATACACCTCAGCTTCCAGATACAGCATACAGATTGAATAAACGTGATGAGAAGTTATTGGGGTTTGTATGTGTGTGTGTGTGTGGGGGGGTGTAGGGTAGTTATCTCCTATGTGTAGCAGAAAGCATCCTAGTAAATTTAATATGACAAAATATCTTCCCATCAGACCAGAATTGTGGATCCCGATTTCCAGCACCAACTCTTGCTGTTTTGGATGTTGCCTGTTTCAGTCTTGGTTCTCCAGAGGAGCAAGCCAGTGATGTGTCTATAGAAACAAGCATAGATTTACTGTAAGGAAATGGCTCCCACAATTGCCAGGGCTGACAGATCCTATAGCTGTGGGTCAGGAATCTGAAATGGAAGACTTCTGCTGGCTCCCATGGTTTCTGGGACTGGAAAATTCATCATCTGCAGCTCAGGTCAAGTAGCAGGCTGAAGACTCCTGCAGGCTCACCTTGGACAAAAGGAAGTGATTACACAGTAGCTATCAAACCACAGGGAAGCATAGCCTGGTCAAGTCGTCACGTAACATTAACCCATCAGTCCACATCACTCAAACAAGCACAGTGCCATCGAGTCCATTCTGACTCACAGTGACCTAATAGGACAGGGTGGAACTGTCTCTGTGAGTCTCTAAGACTGTAACTCTTTCCAGAAGTAGAAAGCCTCATCTTTCTCCTGAAGAGTGGCTTATGGTTTCAAACTGCCAACCTGGCTGTCAGTGTAACTGCTGCACAACTGCCTTTATCTTGGGCTCCCACTTCGTCTCCTGATTCAGTCTTCCCTGTTTCTGTGAAAGGCGCCACTATCTGCTGGTTGTTTGATCCTAAAACATGAGTCACCTTTGCAGTTCCCTTTTCCTCATGCTGCCAATTGATCCCTTAGATCAGTGGTTCTCAACCTTCCTCATGCCGAGACTCTTTCAGACAGTTCCTCATGTTGTGGTGACCCCCCGCCAACCATAACATTATTTTTGTTGCTACTTCATCACTGTAATTTTTCTACTCTTCTGAATCGGGCGACCCCTGTAAAGGCTCATTCGACCCCCAATGGGGTCTTGACCCACAGGTTGAGAACTGCTGCTTTAACTACTGAGATTCTACCCCCACAATCCATCGCGACTCCACGTGCTTTCTCTCCTGCCACTCTGCGCACCTTCATCTTCTTGCACATTTTACTGCAGCAACCTCTGAACTGGTCTCCCATCGCTTTCCAGTTCTTTCTGCACAGAACAGCTAGAGAAGTATTTCTCAGAAACTTCACCTTCCTGGTGACAATGCTTCAGTTTCTTCCTTCTTCTTAAGATAAATTCTGAATGCCCTAACATGACATTTAAGGCCTTCTATGATTGGGGAGCCTTAGAAATGCTGCTGTCGTAGTGGGTTGCTCATTGAGCTAACTGCAAGGTCAGCAGTTCAAACTCACCAGCCACTCTATGTGAGAAAAAGAAGGTTGTAAAGATTTAAAGTCTTGACTCTTGGAAAGATTTAAAATCTCAGAAACCCCAAGAAGCCATTCCACTCTGCCCTCTAGGGTCGCTGTGAGTTGGACCCAACTGGACAGCAGCTAGTTTGTGATGCTGTGGCTCTTCCTTCATCTTTTCAGCCTCAGCCCTTCACTCATCAGGATGGAGTTACCTTCTGTTCCCAAACTGGCTTCTCGGGTCTTCTGCTTCACCTTACCAATGCCTGCTTGTTCTTCAGGGATGCCTGCGGTGTCAGTCACCTCTCCTGGGAAGCCACACCTGTTCTCCACGGCTGTGGAGGCTGCCCTTCTTGGGGTTCCCTGGAACAGTCAGCGAGTCTTAGTCATAGCCCTCACTGGCCTGTGGGGTCACTGCTTATTCGTGGGTTTCCCCATCTGATACTGATACTGGGTCCTTGAGGGCAAGGACTCCGCCTTGGTCTATATTCCCTGCCTCGAGAGTGGACATGGACTGAAGACTTGGTTGAACTCTTGAATTGTACAATGTGACATATATGGAAGATGTCATGACATAGACTTTTCTAAGCGGGGTGGTGGGTGGTGGGCAGGGCTGCGGTGATGGCAGAATGGGATTTCCTGTCTAAGGGCAGTGGATAGGTTTGGCCAGAGGAAGGCCAATGAGGCTGATTCAGTAACCCAGGCAGGATCCGCTGACGGCCTATGCGATGGTAGTAATGGGAATGGAAAGAACCAGACAGACTTGAAAAAGAGTTCAGAAGTAGACTTGCTAGAATTTGGGGGGTAGGAGTGGAGGCGGGGAGCCTAGATGAAGGGAAAAAAAGAGGTAAGATGATGTGACCCAGAGGTGTCTCAGAAGAAAGGCCTGACGATCTCCTTCCCCAAAATCAGCTTTTGAAAACCCTGCAGAACCTAGTGCAGTTCTGAAACACATGGGGTCCTCGTGGGTCAGTGTCAAACAAAAACTAGATAAGGTGCATTTTAGTTGGGTGGACACCTTAGTGGTGCCCTACTCTGGGACAAGGAATTCAGAAGGAACAGGAGGTAGAAAGAAGTAAGAGGGCTTCTGTTGGGGACCTGCTGAGTCTGAGGCACCTGAGAGGCACCCCACAGACCTGTGTGGACATTGGTGCCCGTGGTGGGAACAGAGGCTGGCAGGGAATGGACAGAGAGATAAGGGAAATGCAAGAGGAGTGTGTTGGTGCCCCAGAAGCTACCAAGCGGGAGCCAGAAATACAAGTGAGCACAGGGCTCTGAACAAAGCGAAAACTCTGCTGAGCCTCCGAGTACTTCCTGCAGTCACACACGTGCACCGGGCAGACTTCTCAAGATAATTTATTTGAATCAAAAGTGAAACTCAGGCCACCCACCAGTCATGCGATCACTGCAAGGGTGGGCTTGTCAGGAGCAACACTTCTCTTCTTTCCAGGTCGCTATTCATCAGGGCAGGGCTACTGCTGACTGCACAGGTGTGGTCATGGGCCAGGGACGGTGGCTGAGGCCACACGAGAGATACATGCAGGGCTGGGGTGGGGGGCGGCGAATTAAGGACTGGTGTTGGGGTTTGGGCTTCCAGTTCCGGCGGGGGCCGGGAGCTCCCGTCCGAGGGGCTCAGTAACTGTGAGTTGAAGCCTTGTCCAGCTCGCTGCGCTGCTCCTTATGAGACTCCGTCACCACCTGCTGGGGTCAGGGCGTGTAAGAGGGGCACGAGCCACTCAGACAGCCCTCCTTCCAGCTCCCTTGGAAAGCGGGCCCGAGGCCACAGTTTATCTCTTCATCCATCCTTCTCTGTGTCCCTTCCCAAAGCCCACCCACTAGAAACACCCATGCGCAACATCCTACGACCAGCCGCAGCCAAGTCGGGGCTCAGAGATAGCATGCGCAAAGTTGGCACACTGGGGTCCAGGGGACCCGGCTCACCTCCCCATTCCTGGTCTCAATGGTCTTGATCAGCACCATCTTCCGGGTGTGGCTGTCCTGCGGAAGCTCCACCTCAGGCACTGGAGAAAGCCGGGCGGGGCCGGGAACCAAAGGGAGAGGCCATTTTTTTCCTCTCCTTTGATGACCCCCAGCACCCCCATCCCTAGTCAGTGAAGAGAGGGGCGGGGCAACGAGGAGGGGCGGGGCAACGAGGAGAGGGGCGGGGCAGATGGAGGACAGCGCCTCCGGGTGGTTCCCAGGACAGAGCCCATCCCTGGGGGGAAACCCAGCGAGCCTAGTCCGAGCAGAAGCAGACCCCAGGGAGTCCAGGTTGGAGACCAAGCGTGGGTGACTCACCAGTGGTCTTTATATTCAAGGACGCAAAGGAATGGACTGGCACAGAGATCCTGGAGGGGTGGCCCTTGGTCAGTGCCTTTGCCCGGGCACCCGCCCCAGCCCCCCACTGGCTCTAGTCCGTCCCCCCTCCCGCAGCCCCGCCCACCGGCTCTCCTCGCCCTCCAGCAGTTTCCGGTAGGTGGCGATCTCGATGTCCAGGGCCATCTTGACGTTGAGGAGCTCCTGGTACTCGCGCAGGTGCCGCGCCATCTCCTCCTTGAGCTGCCGCAGCTCCTCCTCCAGCCTCGCGGCGCCCGCCTGGTAGCCGCCGGCTTCCAAGGCGAACTGCTCCTCCAGCTCCCGCAGCTGTCTGAGCAGCGCCTCGTTCTGGGGGGGACCGGGTGAGGGCGGCGGGGAGTCAGGACCTCGGGGACACGGCCTCCCCCAGCACTTACCCCAGCCCAGGCGCGCAGGCAGCCCCGCCCTCACCGTGCCGCGCAGCCCGTCCACCTCGCACGTCAGGCTCTGGATCTGCCGTCGGGACTCGTTCATCTCCTGCTTGGCCTGTCGCAGGGCCTCGTGGTTCCGGTTGGCGGCGTCGGACAGGTCTGCGTACTGCCGGCCAGGGGACAGCCCGGACGTGAGTGGGCTGGGACACACAGGCTCTCCCACCTCCCCAGGGCCCCCGCGTGGGCTCCGGCACCTTAGACTTGTACCACTCTTCCGCCTCCTGCAGGTTCTTCACCGCGATGTTTTCGTACTGTGCGCGGATATCCCGCAGCGCCGCGGTCAGCTCCGGCTTCACAGTGGCCTCCACCTCCACCTGCTGCACCTGCTGGCTCTCCACGCTGACCTGCAGGTCTCGCAGCTCCTACGAGACACGCAGGTGACAAACTGGCGTCGCAGATCCCTCCCAGGCCGTGCAGAAAAGAGGCGACGCGTATGAGTGAACAGCAGGGGGCGGTCGCAGGCGCCCCACGGCCTTGAACTCCCTGGTGGCGGGAGTGCACCTCCGCTGCTCGCCACCGGGTGGCGCATGGGTGGGTGTCAAACCACCTGTAGAAAGGGGTGGATTGGCTGTGCCCCACCCAGACCACCTCACTTTTCCTCTCCAGGGTAATTCCTCCGCCTCCTCCAGAGCTGGGTCTCTGCGGTTCCCCCAGCCTCCCTGTCACTCCCCCCCCACCCCCCCACCGCCGTTCACCTCCTCGTGCAGCTTCTTGAGAAACTCAATCTCATCCATCAGAGACTCAATCTTGCGCTCGAGCTCCAGGCGGGACAGGGTGGCATCATCTACGTCCTTCGTTGAGTGACACGAGGGATTCCAGAAATGGGAGAGAAAGTTCAAGGCAAGGAAAGGCCAGGCCCTCCCAGTCTGCTTCGGAAGACGTCTGGGCGCCTCTCCCCTGGGGACCCTGGGCTCAACATGGGGCCGGGGTTTACCTTTCGGAATAGCACCAGATTATGCTCGGCATCCTCCCGCTTGCGCGCCTCGTCGTCCAGCCTGGAGACAGAGAGGGCTGAGGCTGAGATTCTGGGGCACCGCCCAGCTCTCCCCGTCCACGCCTCAGGGGACCTGGGTCTGAGGCGGCTGCTGTCCTGACTCAGTGATCCCCATTTTTCTCTCTAACCTCCGCCAGGAGGTGAGCAGGGGTGCCCTGTGCACACCAGGGAGGCAGAGCGACCCTCCTCCCCAGGGATTCAGCCAAGGAGGCATGACGTCCCAGGGTGGGG